AATCACCAGGACATGTTACCCTAACAACATACAGTATGTCTGATAGCTCCAGCATTTATCTTAATGATCCTTTGCAGTAAATGGTAAATGGTAAATGGACTGTATTTATATAGCGCTTTCTCACAGTGTGTTACACTGGCCAAAGCACTTTACAGGAGATCATACACCATTCACCTATTCACACACACATTCACACACCGATGTCAGTATGATCTAGTAATTAATGTAGTTGATCTACATGTTCATTCGTTTGCCACACCTGTCTCATTTCTGAATGTGACATATTGTGGAAGGTTTGGGAGCTCTGGCATTAGCTTGTTTTGAATTTCCTCAAATCTTGCCCAAGAACACTGACCATTCTTTTTTGGCTTTCTAGTTTCTAATTTTAGATGATTTGAATCTTGATGTGCTGAAGAGAAGGGACAAAGATTTTCATCATTTAAGAAATTCTGATTAGGTGATTGACAGATTGCACAGTGGAAGTAAATAAAAGTTGCATAATTAATTCAGTTTCAATTAACAGTCAGCAATATATATTAAATACCTACTGCTGTAGACACACCCATGCTCCCCATTCTACTCTGCAAGAAATCTCTGTGTGAGTTCACCTTTAACTTAGATCTAATATCTTGAAGTTTTCTTACACTGAAATAGGGTGAGATTTTATATCTACATAATTTGTTTCAAGCATTTTTGGATTCAACTGCCTTGTTTTACATTTTTCTTAAGCCTATGGTGGGCTGTGTCAGTACTTCAGTGCAGACCATGGCACAAGGCATTCTGAATGTACTGTATATCAGAGCTTACAGGATGAGAGAAGCTGGTAGTAACTGTGTAAAATCTGTATAAAAGGCTGTGGGTAAATCCCAGGAATAGGATCTTGGGGAAATCCTTTAAGATGGTGGACTGGTGGCTGCTGGGTCGAGTGAGCATTGAGGAGTGAGGACCAATAAAATAACAGAATTGGGATTAACCCATTGTCAACAAATCCTATTGTATGTGCAAAGCAGTCATTTCAAATATTATCACCTGTTGGGTAAAATGATTAACAAAGTTATACTCTAGGATTGATTCTAACATTTGATTGAATTAAGAACTTAATTAGTAGAAGATTGACACTATGTTTGTTGATTAGTTAACCTGTGTGTTTACTTTGTTTGCGTATGATTATTCTATCATATTAAGAAAATGAATAGTTAAGATTCAGTTTATAGCACACATAAGTTTACCTACGTATATGTCACAGTTATGTTTACATAGTTGAGTATATCATTCTATGTGTTCACTGAATTCCTGGTTAGTATTTACTGTGTTAGCCAACTGGGGCACTGTTTAACATCAAAGGGACTTGTTCACTACAACACTGAGTTTTATTAGGTTTACAGCTTTGACAAGGAGGGTCCACAGATACTTTATTATCTCTACCTGGCTGAAGAAATCAGGGAAATTTGGGGTCACTGGGACACCAAGAGTAATAAACAGAGATTAGATCTAAAAGCCAGGAAAAGGAGACAACTTCAAAGGCAGGACCATATACAGACACACACAGGCAAGACAGTTTAATTAGCCAAACGGAAAGCCATGTCTCAAATAGTGTAGTTAGTTAGAAACAAAGAAAGAAGTGAGTGTGTATGTAGGAATTTAGACAGAGTAGAATTTCCTCCCTCTTTAGGAAGCTGCCTTTTCCCATTGGAGCAGAAAGGACGCAGGAGGAGGACGGACAGATAGATGGACCAATGGAACAGCATGAGAGGACCAGACCAACCTACAATTGCACATTCGAATTGTATAAAGTTAACTGAGTTTAGGAGGACAGCGTTCCTCTGCTCTGAAGGCAGATTGAACGGTTTTGTTGTTGTTTGGTAGGGCTTCAGATAGATGGAACCCAGAGCTCTGTAAATTGCTTTATTCGATGGTCTATTCAGTTATGATAATAAATGTTGGAAAGGTGATATTTGACTCCGATTATTCTTCAGAAAAGAACACGCAGGACAGATAAAGTCCGACACACCCTATTATGATAATTAGGTTTGAGGAATGAGGAGGCTGCCTGGAGGAGCCATGAGTAGGATTACAAGAGAGCACCCTGAGTAGCACCTGCACATCCCTTTATCATAGATTAGTCGGCGTTTAGGGCAAAGGGTGGCCCCACCAAATACTGATTTGATCAAAGTTTTTTTTTCAGTTTACTGCACTTTGAATGAAGTTAACGGATACATAAACATTATTTATGGCATAACTTTTGAAAGTATCATCCCTATGACTGTACTCTTAACAACTACTATAACAGGGTGAGGCATGTCCCCGAAATGCCTCAGGCACTGGGTGTCTTTTTTACAGTATAAAAAATTTTCAATTAAATATATGATTTAATATTTGGCAACACTACTCTTTTCTACACCAGTTTGTAGGATGCTACACTATTCTCACACAGTGCCTATTAAAATATGGCTTGTTTCTGTACAAGTGGAAACAGGCCTACCCCTTGCTCTCTCTAAAACATTGCACAGTATATTATCTATGGCTCCAGCCATAAGCCTGAAGGTACTTAGCTTCTACTACAACATTACTGGAGTGATTTGTAAAGCAGATAAACTGTTGATAGGCCAAAATCTCAACAGTAATTACATCATGTTTTATAGTACATAATCCCTAAGAAAATGATGAGAAGCTGGATGAAAGTGTGCATCAATCAAATGTAACAAACCAAATTATTGTCAACCCTCCCCCCATGTCCTTGTTTTTCACAGCCATCACCATCTTCCCATGACTCAGCCCTGATATGGCAATTACAGCTGCAGAGAGTCTTCTGCTAATAACTGCAATCCAATCACTTCACAGCATGAGCGGAAGGAAAGAAGGCTCACGATAATAATGACAACCTGCAATTTACTTGATGTTGTTATTTTTACGCTTGCCTTCTCAATAACAGGATCATAAATGCTTTAATTTGGCTTGCTTCAACGAATTTCCTTCTACTGTCATGGTTCTTATTTGAAACATAGTCTACTATGTTTAGAGGCATGCAAAATTTTTGTATATGGTTCTAAACCATGTAACATAGAGGTAACTCTGTAAAGTAATATGAGCCTTACACATTTAAAGCAATATGCTTATTTGTTTTCTTACCAAGAGAAGATAATATCAGTCCCATATCTGAGTATTAAGCACAGAGCTGGTAGTTAATTAGTAATCACAGCATAAAGACTGGAAGCTGTCCAAAGTTCAAGAAAAGACTTACCAACTCACTAATAAACACACTGGGCCTCCTTTTTTTAAGCCTGTAGACAAACAGGACTGTGAAAAGTACAATCCCTGGTTTCTGGGGGAATTACACTTATATTACAGGTGGGGAGTTACAGCTGGAGATGTTTCTTGTGATGTGCAGTGACTTCCTGGAGACATTCTGACACTGTGACAGAACTGTTTAGTTAATGTGTGAAATGCTGGAGTCAAAAGAGGCCCACAGCTAATTTTTGTTCTCAGTTCCCCACAGTGGGTCAATCCAGCCTTGATAAGTAGAAGATGTGATATGTTGTACTGCCCCCTGAGACAAATCTGTGTGTTTTGCCTATATAGATAACCTTGGCTTGACCTAGGCAATTTTTGAACCAAACCACCAAACTCTATAAAATATGAAGAAATTACCAAAATGTGCCTTTTATTTATTTATTTACCTGTTACATTTTATTTTCTA